TGCAGATTCAATCTTCCTATAGTTACAGTTTAAAGCTTTTTTTCAGCCTGACTATACTGATGGCAATCTTGGCTTTTTTGTTGTCCAGTTCATCTCTTTGGTCCAGATAACTATAAGAAAGATTGCAGAGGAATTTGACACAGATATTTATGGGTGAACTCTACTGACTTTGTTGTATCCGCTGGCTTTTCCTCGAGCACTACCATGACGTTCACATTTGTGGTTTGGAGTAAAATGTCACTGGATGGATGTAGCGTCATAAAACACATTGATGTTGACCTCGGGATGAATTGTTATCACTTCTAGTCTTCTGACTTTTCCTTTAACCCCCACATCAAGTCAGCTTTTATTTGTCCAACATGTTTACCACCTGCATTCCCATCAGCCCCTGCTAAGCATCTGCATTTTAGCATTGTCTTTGGGAGCATGTCAGCATGCTAGTATTAGCACTGCAGTGCCTAAACACAGCTTCATACAGTCGCTTGATGGCATGGCATCGGAAAAAACGCGGTGGTAACAAATCAAATTAATATATTCTAAACTGCAAAAAGTTATTTGGCATCCCTGCTAGTACAGTATCTGTTGAAATCATATTTAAATGAATATCTATATTGAGAATACGTTTTTTTAATGTTGGGTTTTTTCTTACATTATATAAACTGATTAATCTAGAAAACAATCAATCTTAAAAAGGAAATTTAGATTTAGATTAAAATACAGATTATATTTATATACTGTTTACCTCATTGCAATGAAGGATAACATAAATGCCAGCGTTGTAACCTTGTAAAATTCTTTATTGCTGTATTACACAACTACAGTGCATCATGTTGGCCTGTAAATTACAGAGTCATACTCAAACTGGTCTTTCTGGATCGTATTTCATTGTCCTACCTCCGCATTTCCACTTTTGCACCCCATTGCTTTGTTTTCAGGCAGCGCTGATTTCTATCTCTCCGCATGGTTTGTCTTGTTCAATTGAATATGTATATAGAAGAGGAGCGATTGACTCAATATACATAGAGCAGAGGAGATGACATAAAATGAATGCCATTAGAACGACTTGTACTGTAAGTGTGAAATCCCAGTTTCCATCACTTGCTGTTTCACATCCCACTGCTTCACTCACAGAAACTCATTCTCTATGACGTGTGTTAAAGAGTTGCACATTCAGTGATGTTTCTGTCTCTCTTTAACTCATAATGTCAGACCAACAGTGTATTGAATTCATATTTGTGAAGTGCTTGAGAGGGCTTATCTGGGGCAGGTCATATGGGCTCAAATGATTCGATTCAGTCCTACTTTGCAATTGTTATCAGAGAAAAAGTTGCATTTATCACCCATAAATCAATGAAAACATTTTAAGGAGGACCTTATTAAAAATTGATAGACCCAATTAAATAGAAATTATAGTTTTATCATGGTAAGCAGCTACATAGTAACAAGCAAATGTAGTGAACTGCAGGCTAAGAGTGCACTTTATGTAAGCTCTGCAATAGGTGACAGTTTAGGCAAAGTGGTGGGAAAGGCAGCAACTGACTAAAGTGTTTGAGGAGGAGGCAATAGAAAAAACTCAGAAAGGTCATGAAACACTGTGGTTGTTTTTTTAAGAACCAAACTTGCTTGGGGGGATAGTATGTGTTTATCTGCGTGTATGACTGTATCTCTGCATATTGAAGTGCTTTTTTATTTGTAGCATACAAATCTAAACTGGACAATTCTACAAATGTGCAAACATGTTGTTTTGAAAATTAGTTTTCAGTGCTTCCACTTTTTCCTTTGAGATGTCATTGCGTCACAGCACTATGTCTAAGCCGAGGCATTACCACACTTGTTGCATCACATTTTACTTCCTTGGCAAGCAGAAAAATGAGGTGGACATTGGTCAATTTAGAAACTCTGATCCATTATAAGTAATTGTTAAGGTTAATGTATGGGACATTTATAACGTTTCTTTCCTTTCTTTTAGTCTAAAATGGTCTAATTTCAAACACCAATTGCAGACACAGATCAAAGCTTTAACATTGATACATTTGCCACGGACTGAATACATTGATAAAGAAATTAGGGTCTTGCTTTAAAAGCATATCGTTAGCCTCATTGCATAATTGCCTGAGTAATATTTTGGCCAAATGGAGATACAGTATCTGCCTAACTCTAATCTCCTAACATTGCTGATTCACCATGCATTGTTGCCTATGCCATTAGAATACTTGTTACGTTCCGAAATAACTATCTGCCTAAGGCATCTCTTTGACTTCATACAAAGTGGGCGACCCCAATGAAAATCATGGCTAGGCTGACCACAAGTGAAGCATTAGCTCTTCTATTTGATTCAAGAGCAAAAGTAGACCGGTCAGGAAGTGACATGGACACCTGGCGACAGATTGAAGAAGAAATGGGAGTTGAAGCCTCCAAAGCAGCTCCTGGTATATGGTCAGAAATGGAAAAACTGGAAACATATGACTCAGGCAATTAAGCTATTAGGCTAACGCTATACAGGAGTAGAGCATTTGGCCCACAGCAGAAATAACCTGACATAACTGGCAGTCACTATCAAAAGCTTTTCACTGCACACTTAAACTATTTCACACTCTCTTTTGATTATTTTGAACCAAACAAATCCTTCAAAGAACAAAATCCTATTTTAGTCCAAAAAAAGGCAAAATGGTTCCTCATAACTATTTAAGAGGTTATACTCTTTCTATTTTAAGTCTTTTTATCCTTTCTGGACTTTTCATGCAGTGGGAGACATATATAATAAGTTTAACAGCACCTCACATTTTTTAAAGGTGTATTTATTTATGTATTGACTGATCTGTGGAGGGAAGGCAAAAAATGCTTTTATTGTCTCAGTAACTGCTGCTCGGTTTATTTTATGGCACCTTTGGCTTTCAGCCGTGATAAACTGGCAGTGTGGAAGTTAAATAGAGGAGGCAAGAGATGTTGAAGAGGCAAAGGTTGCAAGTGCTCTGCCAACTACTTCTGTACACACACAGAGAAAGGGCTATTGGTTCAACCAGCCAACCGACCAAATTAATATGGACTGCGCTTATATGTTGGACTCTTTCTATTGCAATAATTGGAGAAAATAAATCCTTCCCCCTGACAATTTGCACAGAGAACTCCCGGATTCAGATCCCCCCTCCCTTCATTTTAAGCTCATTTTGCATTCTGAGCATTGTTTAGTATATGAATCTTTTATTAAGGCCTCTGAAGTAGTGTGCAAAGTTCATCTGTTGAAAAAAACAACAGCCTGTTTTCAACTAATCTTCTTTCTTAGAGTGAAAAGCAAATATCCTGGAAAACATAACCCTTTGAAAGCTGTGACCTTAATTTTAAGGGTCTAAATGGGGATGGCGTTGTGAAATGTAACGTAACCAGAAACAGAAACAAACCAACATCTGACAACCATTTCACATCAAATCAGTTTTTAAATAATCCCTTTTGTGGCACAATCAAATAATCCAACATATTATACGATAGTTCTGTGCACAGTTCATACAGTAATACGACAGATCTTCGAGCTGGCACTGTGTACTGATATATATTTTTATATAATTGTCTTTCATGCTTTTAAAGGGGCCCTGTTATGCTAAATTTCAGGTTTCATAATTGTATTTTCTGCCACTCCTGTGACATGTTTATACAGTATGTCTTAATATTCCAAAAGTGCTTTATTCTCTGATTCTGCCTGTGCTGCAGCACCTCTTTTCACCCTGTGTCTGAAAACCAGAGCCAAGTCTGCTCTGATTGGTTAGCTGGCCGGCTCTGTTGTGATTAGTCAACCACTTATCCTAACATATACAATGTGTCCGAGCGCTCACAAATAGAAGCAAAAGTGTTACATTGTGATGTCACTATGTTATGGAAGTAAACAAAGGAGAAGACGGCTTTTTTTTTTGGCTGTTCAATGGTACAACCCATCTGACAAAAAACTATAACATTATCATGATGTGTTTAAATGTACACAGCAATATCAAATAGGTATATTAGAGATAGAATTATGTTCTATTTAACTTCGAACAATAACAAATATGCAAACACAATCGTAGAGTATAACTTGAAGCTTTCTACATAGGATTTACTGTTTTGGTTTTGGTTTATCTTATTATCAAATTGGTACAAAGAGTGGAATTGTACTTGTATTGATATCGTCTACTAACTCTAGGGATCATGACAACTTTGACAAATCACAGTTTAAACTTATTCCATCCAACCACTGAGAAAACTTCAGAGGGCCCAAATACAAACAGCTTCCAACAAATATATTGAGCCCATAAAAAGGTGTCAATATTAATATAAAGTGCAAAGAAGAAAAATGTGAATATATAACAGATAATTCAAATTTCTGAACAGTAGTGTTAATGTACAGTGTATCTCCATGTGGAGTTGAATGATACATAGTGCACTCAAGTCCTGCATGTGTCCTCCATTATCTCTCATATATGAATGTTTCTATGCACTGTATAATGTTGCTTTGTGAATTTCAAGAAGCACGAGTGCATTCATATTTTGTTTAAAAAGCCTCTGTAAACACAAGGATATTAATATCAATATCGCACAGGCCATGATGCAGCTATATTCCTTTTAATTGACATAATTCAGACCACACTAACACGTAAAACCAAGAGGGGTCTTTGAATCAGCAAAGTGCTTGTAATGTAATAAGCACTCTCTTTCTAAATGGAGCCTTGACTCCATTTAAAAGAGGGCAGAAAATATGTGTGCACTCTTGCTTAAGGCTTTCATCTTGCATATAAATCACTCCCGCTGAAAGTGGGTGTTTGAGCACCACAGATTTCAGGTCTTGGGGCGCGCCAAGGCTGCATTAATGACAGTGCTGAGCCACAACTGCATGAAGTAAATTAAACCAATTCCAAATATTCTGGGAGCTGATAAAGAATGTTGAAACTAAGGCTCTTAGGATGATTTTGAAAGCTTACTTGTGGTTCTCATAATTTCTCTCCTTTCCCTTTCCTGCTTCCTGTTTCTGACAGATACCGCGGCAGCTGAGCGCTCTTACGTTGTATAGGTGTGAGCAGTCGGCCCTGGATGACTGCCATGCCCACCTGTCGCTGCACCTCAACATGGGCTTGGAGCCCCCAACTCAGGCGTTTGGAGGTCCGAGGCCAGCCAAGTGCCACCCTGGCCTCATGCCTCCCCTCCCCTCCGAGCCTGTGCTGCCTTGCCCCCAGACCCGCTCCCTCCACCAGTGAGCTGTGCACACTGTGAGCCTCTGTGTCCGAAATACTGACTGCTGCACAGAATCAGTGCACACATGAAACACCAGGCTGTGTGGGAGGGAACTGGGACTGGTAAAGAAGCAAAGGAGACTTGTTAATCTACTGCAGAGCATCCTGGACCCAGGGTAATGAAAATGGAGATATTTCTCAGTGGAAATAAAGGGGTGCTGCCATATTGATTAGTAAAGCTTCTGACCCACCTGACCCTCAATGTCCTCAATTAGAAAATGAGGCTGAACAGCAGCATGACTTTCCGCGTTCTGCTCTGCCTCCTAAGGAGTATTAACGCTAATAATTTAATGATTTTGTTAATCTTATTAAACGTGTTTCCTCGGCTGCTCCTCACCTGGACACCTCTCTGCTGCGTCAGGTTAAATAATCAAATCCAAAATGCTATTAACAGAGCAGAGAAACAGTATGATAAGCAGTTGAGAAGCAGAACAAATGAAAGATCAGCCAAGCTAAAAGATTTTCTGTGCTTTCTTCTGATCATGCTGTCAGTCAGAGCGCTCTCCCCCACTCAGTCCCCGTGGCGTTTTTCATCTGGAGAAATGAGCCACCCAAATAAAATTAACAAAGACAAGAGAAAAGAGAAAATAACGGACAGTAATTGTTATATAAAATGTACAGCCTACACATCTTGCCGGCAGTAAGTATAATTTACATGGTGACTTTTGATTTCCCTCATGATTTTGGGTGTCGATCACATTATAGTTAATTGATTCGCGCTGAGAAATAAACAGATGAAAAATAAACACCAGATCTCGGTGCACTATGATGTTCGGATATTTACTTTTCGTCATCCATTTAAATCACTCTTGTAATTAATGTTTTTTTGTTTTTGAAATGTGTTCTACAACCAATAATCTGATTGTGCACTCATATATCTACATGTGTGTGCTTTTTACAAGATGTTGCATTATAATATATGGTAAATAAACTGTCGTAAATGACCAATAACAGTGTCTTTCATCAAGATCAGTGGTATCAACCCAACACACTCTCTGCTGTATTTAAACAGCTGTGTAATTAGTTAAGAATGGAAAGTGCCGCTCTTAAGGAAAGCCTGATGAAGAATCATGTGTCTGGTTTTTGCATTACTGATCTCTTCCTGTGACTGTATGTGAAAGTTATCTGACGTAATACAGTATACTCCACTCTCTGAACCTTGTGGTCTTTTATGTTGCTTCCTAAGGAAAGCTTGTGTGCAAAATGATACCCAATTAAGGTGCAGGGTATTTATAGACAGGAGCTACATGTTCTTTGCACACAAGACGTGTGCCTGTGTCATAAAAGTGGGGAATGCTAAATGTAATATAATTGGAACGTTTGTCAGGAATTGACTGTTAGTTATACCTTGCTATCTACAGCATTTTTTCGGATGGAGCATTTAATTAGCCATCTATATTTTGTGGGGTTACAGGTAAGACCCCAGAACCGACTGTATGAGGGTCCTATACTAAGAGTGTAGGGTAATATTGTTGTTGGATATAGGGATATTTACACCAAAAACAAACTTTCAAAACTCACTACCAGAGAAACAGTAGCTTGTCATGGTACAATTACAATAAACAGATGATGAAGGATACATCTTATGTTTGTGTTGAGGTGTGAACGCTAAGCAGGAAAAGGTGGATTCATTTTGGACGCAAAGAAAAAAGTAAGATGGGACTTTTAGAACCTTATACTAATACATAGAACTCTGATAAATTAGCTCTACACTCAGATACATGAACAATACTAATGTTTTTACTTATTTCCATTTATTTTACATTGATTTTCAGGCTATCATTTAAGCTCTGGTGCCATTGCATTATTAAGAGAGGACATAACACTAAAAACGTTTTTCAGAGCTTTTTAACACTGGAGTGGCTACCAACCCACAACCTGTAATGTCAAACATAATTAGACTTTTGGGGGTTCCCTATCAGGAAACATGAGATCAAAAACCGATCAGATTTTTCTCCCTTTCCTATGTCAAAAGCAGGAGGATCAAATGAAAGCGCCATCTTTTAAGTATCTTCACCAGGGGCTTGTGAACTTCCTTTTCAAAGGTGCACCATATTTCCTCTGAGATTATTAGAGAGAGTATGATGAAAAAACACTTGTTTTTTTAACATTAAAGCTTTAAACGTGTTCTTATAGAAACCCAACATACATTATGAACATAAAATAAGTACGATATGTCCCCTTTTTGAATTATTTGGAAACCATTACTGTTTAGCTGGAAACAGCGTTTTTTTCACTTATTCATGGTTTTAATTTTGAAGGCCTATTAGATAGCTCCAGGTGAAACAGTCTGCCATTGAAGCTTCGAAAATCAATAATCCCCGGAAAGGAAGGAGAAGCTTCTTTTGAGGACTGCATTTTGAAATACAAGTTCCATTGATTCAAAATAACTAAGAATTTCGAGTGGTAAATTGTCCCTGGTTTTAAAGTGCTGTGCGTCAACACAGAGCTTAGCAGACGTAGCAACTGTAACCAAGGGGCAGGATTTAGTAAGCTGTCAATGTTGCTGAGTGACTTTTTATTTGATAATCAAACTAAAAGCTTTTGGACATGCAACATAAATGAAACTGTCCTCAAAAAATGTTATAGTCCAATTGTATTTGGTTTTTGATAGATTTTATTTTTGGGGGGGGGGGGGGGGGGGAGGGCATAATTTACAGTAAATTAAATCTCCAATAATACAAAAAGGTGTAATCTGAATATTTTCAAAACTGAGTGCAAAAAATCAGCAATCAAACCCCATAATTACAAATCAATGACGCATTGAGTGCTCACTTGTTTATCAGATTGTCAATAATTCCTCAATAACAGATTTTGTAAAGGCTCCAGCTGGTGTTTTCCTCTGTAAAAAAGAAAGGCAGTGCAGAAGATACATCTTCTTATGACAACACGTTGTGACACATGACAGATTCACGCTGCTGGAGGATTTACTGCTCTGCGGCCACACACACGTAACAGTTTAACGACACTGATAGATTGCATACAGTGCACTCACTTCAAGTGTTCAGAAGAGCGCTGCCCGAGAGAATCAAGACAGGGAGGAGCGGGCCAATGCAACCGAATATCATTCAGACTTATGTGTTCACATGCGTTTTCACTAACAGGCTGATGATTCATGATGCTTCAATCGATAACAACCTCTGAAACAGTTCCGTCTCTACAACTTTACAAATAATAATCACCCGCAGCACATCTCAAATCTGTGACTGTGTGACTCATACAAACACAAGAGAAGTTTGAATAAACCACGAAAAATTACTCGATAAATTTACAGCAAAATTATTTTGGGATGTCAAAAAAACTTTGGGAATTTAGAAATGCTATCATCTGAAGCATTGAAATGAGTCAACATGTAATAAAGACTGAATTTTGAAAGGAGGGTTTCCAAGCTTGCACAGTGTATAATAACAGGCTCTGTGCTCCTGACTCGGTGTATTTAATATTTTCTTCCATCACAGGCCTATTTTACAGGAATTTAAAATGTGTAAAGTGTTAAGGTAGCACCAGATGTTTTTTTGGTTTGTTATTCCCATGACATTACATCTACATATTAGTCTTTCGGACAATCTGTTGGCACTTCTTTGGAAAGCAGAGACAAGCTATTTCCTCCGTCTTGGGAGCTGTAGACAATGTAACAGTTTTTATTATGTGGGCTTAAAATCCTCTCATCCCTCATTTTGTTCAATTGATTTCTTTCAGTGATCTTATTCAGGATGTCATCAAGAGAGCTCTCTACATTTGACAAAACTCATAAAAGCAGAATAAACCAGGAGAAGTGTAAAGGAGACACCATTCATTTAATGCAACTTCTGCACTCCAAACATCTATTAGACTCAAATCCAGTCACTCTGTATTCCTGTTTGCCTATCTCAAATCCAATAAAATTGGGCCAGATGTTTTTGCTACTGGCATTTTGTAACCTATATTTCTCGTCTGAATGCAGAGCGGATGGCATAACAAAAAACAAGTGGGAATGTTTACTTCTTTATTTAGAAGGAAACAGATGTACGTTTCATTTCAAACTTTCAGGGTGAAAGCTATACCCGCTTTCATGTTCAGCTGCACTTCAGGCAGCAGCGTATTTATCTGGAAACACGAGGCTTTGTCTCACCCACAGGTTCATGGTGTATTTGAAGTATTTCGATAGAAGGTCAAGCTCAAGTTTCTGTCTGTCTTCGTCCGCTAGCCGTGTCATTTCAGAGTTGTGTTGCAACTGCTGGCGGGCAGGGCAGCTGTGAAAGCTCCTGATTTCCCCGGGGAGGTACACTGCTGCTATGCCCACACTTTGAGATTACTTACCATCAAGCTCACTGTGACACCAGTGCTGCTAGTTTATTTTTAAACTGTCTCTTGAATCACAAGCCAATCGACTACCTTCCTCATACATTTCAGGTTCAAAGATGTGAACCCTTTTTAAAGCTACCAATGACTCATAACTCTGTTTGTCTCGTTATAAAGTTGCACTCATCCGGCATCCTTTTGAAGGGAAAAGTTTTATGACTCCCACGGGCTGTGGCTCAGGATGTTAAGCGGGTCGTCTTCGAATCAGCAGAGGCGGAAGAAGTACTCATGTCTTTTACTAGTAGAAGTATAAATAATACAGTGTAAAAACACTAAATTACATGTAAAAGTCCTGCATTATTTGATTGTACTCAAGTAAAAGTACAAAAGTATTAGCATCAAAATATAAATGAAGTACCAAAACTAAGAGAACTGAATATGCCTTTTCCAGAATCATATCATTTTTTAATTATAATTATTGATATATCATAGTTTTCATTACTTCAATGTTGCACTTGGTAAAAGTTGGATTTATTGAAATAACCTTACATACTGCCAGGTAACTAAAGCTATATTTGTATATCATAATGTATTAATTGAATGCAAATAGCTATGAAAAAACGTGTAAAGTAAGTTAGCACAATGTGAAATGTTAGTAAGTACATTTTTGTTGGTTTTTTCTCTTATTTTCTTGTAAAGCGTCCTTTAGCACTGGGAAAAGCGCTATATCAATATTATGTATTATTATTATTATTATTATTATAAATAAGTAAAGTACCTCAAATGTCAGTACAGTACTTGTAGTAAATGTACTTAGTTACATTCCACCGCTGCTAATCACAAGATCCTATAAGTCCCTCACCCATTGTCATCTGCTAATGCGGAAAGAAAATCATAATACAAATTACATCTTTATAACTTTAAGTAATAAGAAGCAATTCACAAGAGGATTTCAGCATTGTGGATGACGTTTTAAAACCTAAATCCAATAAGCAACACAGGCTTTTCCTTGATTCCACAGATTTACTGTGCACAATGGGACTCCAAGAAAACACAATAGGGAAAAGACATGTTGATGCACGGAAACAGGGTTAATGCAGGGTGATGCTTAAATGAGAGCACATTTGGTAGCAGGGTTGAAAGGCAATTCACGACTGCCTGTCACAAAATAAACAATGAAGTGAAGTTAGAAAAACACGGGCTGAAGCCGCAGCTGTGTCAGCCGCCGTCTCTCTGGTAGCTGAGGCCTGAAAGCCACGATAATGCATAGTGAATTGCAGCTATTTAAATACTTTCAGAATCCATCTCTCTCAATGCTACATTCAGTGTCGAAAATACAAATCAATGATCATAAATGGAGCCACAGTTAAGCTGGTATTGTGCTGTGTTTTTTTTATTGAAGGCTGAATGCCACTCACTTTATATATGCTCACTTCAGGATTATAGTTGTGGAGCGTGCTATATAATGTGGAAATTCTCCATCCAGCACTTAATGTAGTTAATCTAGTTCACATTCAGCTGCAGTTTAGATGACAGGCTATTTGGTTGTCTTGCTTAAAGGATTTTTTACAACATATATTTCCCCAAGTTGCCTCTATGCTGACTCACAGATACTATATTTTAGAGGTGAAGTTTGTGTTCCCACATCATTCATTTCCTTAAAAGCTACAAGAACAAGGAGGAAACATGTTGCATACATGGCCGACAAGCTACGTAGCTATAATAACAACATTCAGGAAAAATATCAACCATTATTTTCATTGATCAATGCAGCATATGTCTTCGAATATTTATTTGTTCCATAAGGTGCTACGTCTGGTAATTCGCCCTTGCATAATAATTACATGGGTCT